TATATAAAGAGTACCCTGGTATTGCTATGTCCCAGTCATTTTTCTCATTATACCATGTCTCAGTAACAGCGACTAAATCTACACTATCAGTTGCCATTATTGCCACAAGTTCATGGATCTTATTCCCTAAACTGCGAGCATTTGTAGACATGACTCTAAGCTTATCATTTTTTAACACACTTGCTACAGGTACCTTCTGTCCTTGTTTTGGGGGACAATTGGATTGATGTTTTATCACCCTTTTGCCCCCCCCCTCCTAGTTTAAATACATCCTAGCAAAACCTCTGAACTGCACACTGAGAACATTTGTTCCCTTTTGAGAAAGATGCAAACCATCTTTTTTGTACAGCTTATCTCCATTCCAAACAGAGCTACCATGAGAAATAAAGCCAAATCCTTGCTCCCGACACCATTCACCAAGCCACAAATTAAAGTCCCTAATACGCATCCGCCTGTCGCTCTGAGTGTTATGCACAGGCAGAACTTCAGAGAATGACAGTGTGGAAGCAACCTGCCGTATATCATTGGCAAAAACACTAAAAACTTCCTTAACCTCTGAAACCTCATTGCATGCCAAGTCATTTGTCCCTAGATGGACAAGTACATCCAATTCTCCTCCCTGCTTTGCTTGCTTAACAATATTACAGATACGTTTCCTGTCTCTGTGAGCAGTAGCTCCGGGAAGACACCTCACAAGACCACCATTGTCCATCTCCACACCTCTTATAATGGAATCACCCAACAACTGCTTTCTATTAGGCCTCACCATAGTCTCCAAGCCGGTCTCCACAACACCACTAGTCTCAGTGCCTCTCTCCACAACACCACTAGCCTCAGTGCCTCTCTCCACAACACCACTAGCCTCAGTGCCTCTCTCCACAACACCACTAGCCTCAGTGCCTCTCTCTACAACACCACTAGACTTAGTGCCTCTCTCCACAACACCACAAGCCTCAGTGCCTCTCTCCACACCACCACTAGCCTCAGTGCCTCTCTCCACAACACCATTACACTCTGAAAGTGCAGAAAATGAATTATGAAGAGCAACAGACTGTGCAAAATGCCTTTTATCCACAACTCTATCCACAGATCCTACAGTAATCCATCTGCCTTTCCTAGCATGTCTCTGCGGCAGTGGCTTTGCAGCAGTTCCAGTTTGAGTTTCTTCACCAGATAATTTACAAATCTCAGACTTCAAAAATACAATCTCCTGCCGCAAGATAGAGAACTGTCTACAGATTAGACAACAACCAAACCTCCAAAAAGTGGAACGTGAAACAAATGCATAGCAATTGTTACACTGAACTAAGCCTGCCATTCCAATTATAAGAATAATTTAAATCTAACAAATCTTAACTTTTTTCTTTATCCTCCTGAATACCTCAGATTACCTCCAGTTTATCTCCAGAATATCTCCAACTACACACTTAGAAACAGCACTTAGATGAATCAACCAAGCTATATTAGACAAGCTAATGGAACCAGGCCTTATATAACTCCTAAAATCACCGCCCACTAGGAATGTTTAACACCTGGGTAGGCCTCTGCTTATTTGCAAACAATAGCTAATTAACCAGCAATCAACATCAAGAAACTAGCTTAATCAAATCAAATGCCTTATAATTACCAACAGGAATTCAAACCTTGTGCAATCAGTAACCTTTTCTTACAGATGAATCTTACCTGTAACAGTAGAAAAGAAAGCTCTTAGCACAACTCTTAGACAGTTGAAGCTTCTGTAAAACTCTCCAGAATATCTCCAACTACACACTTAGAAACAGCACTTAGAAGTAGCACCAAGCTATATTAGACAAGCTAATGGACCAAGGCCTTATATAACTCCTAAATCACCGCCCACTAGGAATGTTTAACACCTGGGTAGGCCTCTGCTTATTTGCAAACAATAGCTAATTAACCAGCAATCAGCAAGTAACTAGCTTAATCAAATCAAATGCCTTATAATTACCAACAGGAATTCAAACCTTGTGCAATCAGTAACCTTTTCCTACAGATGAATCTTACCTGTAACAGTAGAAAAGAAAGCTCTTAGCACAACTCTAGACAGTTGAAGCTTCTGTAAAACTCTCCAGAATATCTCCAACTACACACTTAGAAACAGCACTTGGAAGTAGCACCAAGCTATATTAGACAAGCTAATGGAACCAGGCCTTATATAACTCCTAAAATCACCGCCCACTAGGAATGTTTAACACCTGGGTAGGCCTCTGCTTATTTGCAAACAATAGCTAATTAACCAGCAATCAACAGCAAGTAACTAGCTTAATCAAATCAAATGCCTTATAATTACCAACAGGAATTCCAACCTTGTGCAATCAGTAACCTTTTCCTACAGATGAATCTTACCTGTAACAGTAGAAAAGAAAGCTCTTAGCACAACTCTTAGACAGTTGAAGCTTCTGTAAAACTCTCCAGAATATCTCCAGCTACACACTTAGAAACAGCACTTAGAAGTAGCACCAAGCTATATTAGACAAGCTAATGGAACCAGGCCTTATATAACTCCTAAAATCACCGCCCACTAGGAATGTTTAACACCTGGGCAGGCCTCTGCTTATTTGCAAACAATAGCTAATTAACCAGCAATCAACAGCAAGTAACTAGCTTAATCAAATCAAATGCCTTATAATTAACAACAGGAATTCAAACCTTGGGCAATCAGTAACCTTTTCCTACAGATGAATCTTACCTGTAACAGTAGAAAAGAAAGCTCTTAGCACAACTCTTAGACAGTTGAAGCTTCTGTAAAACTCTCCAGAATATCTCCAACTACACACTTAGAAACAGCACTTAGAAGTAGCACCAAGCTATATTAGACAAGCTAATGGAACCAGGCCTTATATAACTCCTAAAATCACTGCCCACTAGGAATGTTTAACACCTGGGTAGGCCTCTGCTTATTTGCAAACAATAGCTAATTAACCAGCAATCAACAGCAAGTAACTAGCTTAATCAAATCAAATGCCTTATAATTACCTACAGGAATTCAAACCTTGTGCAATCAGTAACCTTTTCCTACAGATGAATCTTACCTGTAACAGTAGAAAAGAAAGCTCTTAGCACAACGCGTCATTAAATTGCCAAACTCCAAACTCCAATCCGAACATACAGTGATATGTCCGTGTTCGGGGTCCAAAAAACGTAATGTTCAGTATGAACCCGACCTGTTCAGTTTGGGTTCGCTCAACTCTAGTTATAAGTTTGATTGAAATATTTTTTGAAAGTGTTTTGAAACTTACTGTGCATAATAATTTGGAACAGTGCATTGTAAGTTTTTTATGTTTAAACAAAATACTGTTATCATTAGGAGGTTTGTTCAATAAAATTTGAATTGTACTCTTAATAGTTGATAGCATGAGAATTATGCTGACTGTTATTTACATCAATTATTTAGGTAAATGAGAAAAATATAATTTGCATAATAATTTGGAACAGGGTGTATATATATATTTTTTTTAAATTAGTTTTATTATTTTTAAATGTATTTTTATTTACTTATTATTGAAATCCTTGTGACTATGGCCCTGGGTTGTATGGTCCTTTACAAACATTATTTGGGCTAATGGATTTATATTGTGCTGCTGCTGGCCCATTGAGAACTGCATTGTGGCTTATGGACTTGTATAAGCCACAATGCATTGGACCATGCTGGCCCTTTAAGAACCGTCTGGGGACATATTGAGACTTTGTGTGACAATGCCCCTTTAAGACTTTGTCCCCAGACTGTTAAAATTCTTTGTTCATTGCTATTTTCCACTTGGTTCAGTATATGGGGCTTACCACACAGGTGGACCACCCAGAAGTGGAAGTGTGCAGGCAATTTACCTCCTAGGCTGGGAGCCTGCTGTAGGTAAATTGCGGATGGCTGGTTGGCCGCAGTTCATGCAAACGAACACGTGGTGGGGGCCATCTTTGTTCATTCGAACGAGGTCAGTGGTATGTGTAGCCAAATTCATGGAACTGAAATCGGCTACACATTTCAACGAACACCCCTGACCCTTACCTTCTCCTACACTCCGTTTTCAGCTACAGAGACTAAGTCCCGTTCGGCAGTTTGAACTCACTGTTATACTGAGCCAAATGCACGAACGACCTCGTTTATGCAATCGAATGGGACTTAGTCATTAACCGGCCGCACAGCCCAAATCTATGGAACTGTTTTGGGTGGGAAAATGTGCTTGCAGTCGGTCATAAAGGACTTCCGTCTAACTTTATCTACTGGATGGATTTGTCTGATTTTTGAGAGTGTTTATATTTAAAGTGTGCTGATTCTGAATATG